GAAGCCCGGGTAGGCCGTGGTGGACCTGCGGGGTGGCCGCTCACGGGTCGTGGGTGGCATTGCGTGGCATCTGCGCTGCACCGTGCGGACACAAAATGGACCTGCACGATCTTCCAAGTCTGGAAGACGTAGGGGGATGCCCCCCTCCTACCCCTTGCGTGGATGCAGCCTGAATCCAAGAGTCGAACTCAGGACGGAAAAGAAATGGCAACCTTAGGAAATTGGATGACTGCCGCGCGAATATAGCTGTCATGTAGGCAGAACTTTGCATACTGACCACGCCTGTGGCCTCACCCACGAACTGCCTCCGTCGAGGGTGGTCTAAGAGGCTGCCGGTGTTGCATTCACATATCTGTATAAACAAGGAACACTGCTGTTCAGGGACGCTGGACCCGGTTTCCAGCAGGTGCTGCTCCCCACCAAAAGATGGAGCCTCCCCGACAGTGATAGCGGTGTCTGCTCTTACCAGCACCACTACCACCGCCTCGGGTTGTTCTGTTAAAAAAAAAAAAAAAAAAAAAAAAGAGAATCACGCCCCCACCTATCTAATCTTGTTAGGTAGGCAACCCACTTAGGTTCCTGAGTAGTCGTGGGGTTCCACCTGCCAAATTTCTTCCACTTAGGTTCCTGAGTAGTCGTGGGGTTCCACCTGCCAAATTTCTTAAATTTCTTACTTTTAGAGTGGTTCATGCGCCTGGCAGTAGCTACAATCGGATGCCTATTCAAATAAGCAAGTATGATGTTCAGGGACGCTGGACCCGCTTTCCAGCAGGTGCTGATCCCCACCAATAGATGGAGCCTCCCCTACAGTGATAGTAGTGTCTGCTCCTATCAGCACCCCTATCACTGGCTTGGGCTGTTAAAAAAAAAAAAAATAAAAAAAAATCCGATGCTAGCGATACAATCATGTTTGTGGCTATAATTACCCCTTTGAAAAAATAAGAGAGAAAGAAAGAGCGCATTTCCAAGGTGAAGAGATTCCCCCCTCTATCCTCTAACCTGCTCAGTCAATCCCCTGGATCCCAGGGCAATCAATGCTGGCAGGAACCTTTCACAATTGTTACTCAATATTTCTGTTTTTCAATGGTTCAAATTTATTTCATGTAAGGGACGCTGGACCCGCTTTCCAGCAGGTGATGCTCCCCACCAATAGATGGAGCCACCCCCTAGGTGCTAGTGGTGTCTGCTCATAACAGCACCACTATCATCACAGGTAGGGGCGTTTCTTTATATATATATATATATATCGTCAAATATATATATATATATATATATATATATATACCCCTCGTTTGTTGTCCTCTTCTCTCTCTCTGCCTACGGTTTACCGAGCAGCTCTGTTTGTGACGATATATATATATATATATATATATATATATATATATATATATATATATATATATATAAACAAAAAAAAAGTGCATTTCCAAGCGCCTACATTCTAGTACTCACCTTGGATCTACTACGGTGCCATCTTTTATGCCCCCGCCGGGGAGGAACACGTTAGAATGCTGTTGGGTCTCATCCTCGTCCTCCCCCTGCATGCCATCCTCTGCCTGTGGCATGGCCAGAAGGTTCTCCATGTCCATGGTCCTGGTCAAGAAATCCCAACCTTCATCGAGAAACATGCTGTGAATGCGCTTCACAACAGCCCGCATTGCGGGCCTCGACCCATACTCTTCATGGACGCATTCCCAAGCCAACCTGAAAGTGGTCATCACCATCTGCTTTGTCGAGTCTCCGGCCACCTGATCCCACAAACAGCGGTCAAGAATCACATTTGGCATGTCCAAGCTGGGATCTTGGCCATTTTCACCTCCACCCCTCAAGAAAGGCTTCACCCAGTCCACGAGGGTCTGCCATCCTAGCCCAGAAGGGGCCGGTGTCACCACCTTTCTTCCAGTCAGCAGCTCCAGCACAAGAACCCCAAAGGAGTACACATCATTCTTCTCAGACAGCTCCCCTCCCACCATGTACTCTGGGGACATGTACCCAAAGGTGCCACCGATGTGAGATGTGAGCACCACATGGTCGTGCCCAGTGTCTAACACTCTTTCCCCTATGGACGCCAATCCGAAATCAGCAAGGACTACGTGGAGTGYCTCCCCACAGCCATGGCCAAGAAGGACGTTGTGGCTCTTGATGTCACGGTGGATGATGGGAGGCTTGGCGTCATCATGGAGATACCAGAGCCCTTTGGCGACCTGAAAGGTGATGCTCATGCGMTCTTGGAGAGTGAGGGGCGGAAGAGAATCCGCCTCCTCCAAGCCCCTTCTATTATGCCTGTTAGGGAACAGCCGCTCGTATAAGCAGCCGCCTCGGAAAAAAGGGTACACCARGATRCACTKATTGACCTCCTGGCAGTACCCCATTAGCTGGATGAGGTTGACGTGATTAACTGCGCTGAGGGTGTTCACCTCCGCCACGAACTGGTTGCGTTTGGTGTCCGTGAGCTCACCGGTCATCACCTTGATTGCCGCCTCCTTGCCGTCAAGCGAACCCCTGTAGACTTTCCCGAAGGCCCCTCTCTCCCCGATTCGACGGGTCTCACTGAAATTGTCCGTGCAGTCCGACAGGGTCTTCAAATCGAACCGGTTGACGCGTGAGGGCCTGAGTCCCCAAGCGGGCCATGCACTGAAGTCCTGTGAAGACGAAGCCCCCGACGGTCCGGCAAGGATGGAATGCTGCTGGCGAGCTTGACGACGACGGTTTCTGCGACGCCAAGCCCGAAGTATGCCGACAACGACTGCCACAAACACCCCAGCCCCGGTTGCAGCCAGGATGGCCAGCAGTTAGATGTTATTCGGGGGTTCACAACCTCCCAGCTCCGACCTGCTCAGCGGTACCCGAAACAATTTGCCATCGCTGGTTCCCATGAACAGGATCAACCGCTCACCGTCATCGTGAAGAGCCAATCCTACGAAGTCCATCGATTTGGGATGATTTATGCTTCCCAGCCATCTGCTCGCCCTATTGCAGGGGGAGACGACGGTATGGACAACAACTGAATGTCCCATCGATGCAAACACGTGGCATCCGTCCGGCGTTGAGACCACCTCATACACATCGTCGTAAAAGATATTTACGCTGGCTACTTCAGTTCTGGCGGGTTCTAGAAGATTGAGCCCTAGCACTCGGCCATCAGTCTGCAGACAGTAAAGGCAACTGCTATCCGAAACAAGGCTTTGAGATTGGAACTTCGCGCCAGGAAGTAGTCCCCAGAATGACGTGCCTCCTTTCTCCGAATATGCTGGAAGTCCGGAATCATCAACACCGATTTGCCTTAGGAAAACATCTTCCGACGAGTAGTAGAGATAACCCATCTTGGAGTTCAACGCCCAAGACTGGACTGAATTGGGCCACGGGTAGGACGATCGAGAGCCGTCAGTTAGAGACAAAGAAGTGCAAATGGAAGGATTTTCGCCGTACGTGTATCGCAGCCGATACGTGTTTCCATTCGTTACGCTGAGGAGTAGATGAGCCCCATCTTTGGACAGACCCATCCCAGACACGCGAGCCATACGTTTCCCGTTCAAATCCGTCCCGCTTGGAATCCTTGACCCGTTCGGCTGGTCGTACGGCCACATATGCGTTATTATTGCGGTTTCGTCATCCTGTCGGCTCGAGCCGCTGGCCTCCTCAAAGTGCTGCGATGTCGATAGGTTCGCTTTTCTGATCGACATCGAATAATCTGTGTCAAAACCATCTCTCGAGCAGTACTGGTGCAGGACATAGTACAGTTGTTGTTCATTGCCTGACGAAACCACGACCAGATTCTTTACATCCGACCGACATAGATGGGAGTCAGTGGAATTTCCCGGCAAGGGATGCGACACCAGGAGCGTGGCAGAACCGTTTGCTAACGACGGTGGATCTACTCCCGGCAGCGGTTCTGTGTTCGAGTCCCATGCCGACGATTGCGAAAGGGGCGGAGCTGAAGCGGCGGCACTTACGGAGTCCTCCTGAAGAAACCTAGCACCCGGCTGGGTTCCCCAATTGGAGGTAATACTCCACAGAAATTCAGTCCTCCTCCTTAGTGGTCTGTCCCCTGTTGCCGATACGAAGATCAGACAACCAACACACAACACAGTGACTGCTACTGCCAGCAGCAAACAGCCCAGTAAGAGGAATGGCACCCGGGCGAAGGAGCAGACATGGCAATGCCAGCGATCACAGCAGGCGTCGCGAGGGCCCTTAATCGGACAGGAGGGTTTCATATCCACCCACACTCAAGATTAGCGTGAGCGACCGCTCCGTCTGAAAGCGAATCGGTTGCTACAACTCCCTACTACCGAAAAATCGCTGGACTTCTCTCCTCGCCTTTCCCCTATTCTCGACGCACAAGCCACTCAACTCAGGGCGTACTCACATTATGATTTTTTTTCGCCGGTAATCCGACCGTAAGGATAGTAAAATACCTCCAGGTAAGAAGACGCACTGTCATATGCTCTTCCGTAGAGACTTACTACTACCACAAGAGCTTCTACCCTGACGCTGGCTGGTTGGGCTGTACTGTATATGGAGACTTGCCTCAATCCCGTCCGTTCTGCAAAATGTCGGCATCCACGTCAGCCACTCCCACCACGTTTAGCCCTCGTTCTCAGACTCTATGGACAAGCACTCCTTCGGCGCAGCAAACGAACATGCTGAACTAGTATCCATTTCACTCAAAAAAAAACCCAACTTCGCAGACTAATTATTTCAAACTCGCAATAAAAGCTCAAAATCGTTGAATACGATAATAAATTTTACTACACAACTCCCAAATTCGCTTACACGCCAAGTCAATTTCCATACTAACCCTGAACCAATTTCCGTGCTAAAAGAAAAAAAGAAAAAAAACGCTAAGTAAACAGAAGTCCCAGCATCTCTCCTGTATTTGCCTTGCTCAGATTCTTTCTAAACTCTCCTATCCATCCTACACACGTTTCCAGTCAGATTACTAGAAGCCTACACTTCACAGCGTCAAGCAAGGTGCCATGTGATCAGCTGCCTCCTGCCCAACACGACTTTTCATGTTTGCAAGAACCCACTTTTCAGCATTGTACCTTGTCACCTTCGTTGTAGATAGACTCTAATATGACCTTACGCCGCTGTGCATCATCAATTTTGTTGTACTTTGTTGTACCTCCCCCGGGCCCCGACGGCGTGCAGTTCTCCAGGCCTCATGGCAGAGGTATGGCACACCGGGGGGAGAGAGAGAGAGAGAGAGAGAGAGAGAGAGAGAGAGAGAGAGAGAGAGAGAGAGAAGAGAGAGAGAGGTCTTCGTTACTGCGCTGTGACCAATATTTCAAAATCATTGTGTAGCGGAAACAGAAGACGGCTCTGCCGTGCGGAGTGAGTTCTAGATTGCGACGTGGTTCTACAGTGAGAGCTACTTATACCCAGTGAAAAGTTGAAAACGATGCAGGCGTGTGCTAGTAATATCACTGGGCGGGGGGTTGCGACATTTGTAACTCCCGCGCGAAAAGTGGAACTTGAATTTGTTGGAAGCTACTGGCGCCAATAGCGCCAATGCCGCCATGGCAAATTCGAAAAATATCTATCGCGAATTCAGCGCCAAGGTCTGTATTGGACAAAGCGGCCCGAAATGGCAACGGACCACCGGCGGCTAAAGTGGGACGAATGCCGCGCGAAAACGCGGCAGGATACCGCCAAAAATAGATATGTCAAAAGAGAGAGTGAGTATACCCGCGGGCATTCAATGGCTCAACCACTCCTTTCAAGGTCAAAGAGGCTATCATCGAAACTCCAAAAATGAACACTCGACGGCTCCACCACTCATGTCACGCTGAAAGAAACCGTCGCCAAATTCCCGCAGAGAAAGAAAAGGCTACTCGCGAGGTGATTGCTCAGGCTACTCCTCGTCCCTGAGCGCCGGCGGTGATTCAAACGCGTGAAGTCCATAAAGCACAGGCCGTACATGCCGGGCTCGATGATTCGTTTGCAAGTGTGACGTGCCACACACGGTGAAGTGAAGTGGCCGACTAAGGAAAGTGAGCTGGCGAGAAAGAGATACTCCTTCGTTCTGCAAATCGAAATGTTGACGTGCAAGCTTGTACAGCAGCAACAAATGGGGCCAACTTAGGAAAGCCATGAGACTGCGAGTACGGAGAAGAGAGACGAAGTGAAGTGGCCGATCACGAACTGGAAGCGGAGAAACGCCTTCGTCCTCCCATCAGGAGGTAAGGGCGCTGCTCCGACGGCATGTAATATCTGACCTGATCTGGCAGACCCTTCAAGTCACATAGGGGAGAGTGCGATCAATGGACACACAGAGAGAGAGAGAGAGAGAGAGAGAGAGAGAGAGAGAGAGAGAGAGAGAGAGAGAGAGAGAGAGAGAGAGAGAGCGGATTGAAGTGTTACTGTCGATGTAACAGGAGCGGACCTTCCCGTGTACGCCAAGTACTACATAATAGCATTGACGCAAAATGTCACACAGTGCACGAGCAGGCCACTGGGTGAGAACATGCTTTCTTCAGGGAGTCGTGTTTAGCCAATGTAAAACACGCAGTGAGAGAGAGAGGTGGCAACGGAAGGCGCTCAGTACCTTTGTCTCTGTCCATGTACAGCGTTTCCCCCTCAGGCGGCTCCAGTGCGGCAGCCATGGACGAAGATGTGCCTGCTGCGAGTTGCTGTGATCGCGCTTTTGCAAGCCCCCATACACAGCATCTGCATACGCGTGCGGCGCGCAAACACACACACACACACACACACACACACACAGAGAGAGAGAGAGAGAGAGAGAGAGAGAGAGAGAGAGAGAGAGAGAAATAAAACGGGAATTCCTCTTCTTGTGATGCATTCCGGTTTCTTTTTTCGAAACGAGCGCGCCACCTCTCTCTCTATCTCTATCTCTCTCTCTCTCTCTTGTCGTGGTTGGCGTCATTGTATTTTCATCGATAGGATGAGCAAAATCGAATGAATCTGGCGCTTTAAGTGGAAATATACATTGCCACACTTGTTTTTTTTTTTTTTTTTTTTTTTTTTTTTTTGTGCGTAAGAGAGAGAGGGGGGCGGCGAGTTCGGCGCGACCCTCCGTGCAGGTTGCCGCCGCTCTCTCTTTCTCTCTCTCTCTCTCTCTCTCTCTCTCTCTCTCTCTCTGTGCAAAAGCGGGAAGATCCATTCCCGCTTTGCGTTTCCAAAGCCGTTCGGGAAACACAAAGCGGGAATGAACCGATTCGTTTTTGTTTGTTTGTTTTTTCGGTTTTTTTTTCTTTTTTACGTTCGTTTCACTCCAACGTTCGGGATACCTACTCCCCGTAGTCCAAGCCTCGGCACGGATCGGCGCACCAGTCGGCCAAGGCTCGGACTCGATAGCTGAGCCAAGTACATGTGGTTTAAAGTCATCGACCAAGCAGGAAGCACATTACATCGAGATACAAGCAAAATAAGAGCAATACAATGAACTCAAATGTCAATGTCGACACTCAATGTCGACACTCTCTCGCCACACTAACATAGTTTACAATGTCGTTCTTCTCTACTGACGCTCAATGCCCAACCTACCCTAATCAGCAACTACTCTAGCCTACATCACGTTCATGCAACAGGAGTCATTTCGAGCTGAAGACCTATGTACTTGACGACATCGCTAATGCAGACTGCCAGCAAACACCATGTACGTTCTCTCTCTGCTCTCCCATCATCCCTTTTCTTCCCACAGTGCATATCCCCGATCCTTTGCCAGTAAACACCAGATACGTGTCTCTCTCTGCTCTCCCATCGACCCTTGACTTCCCACAGTGCGCATCCCCGACAACCAAAGGACCACCATCAGCCTCACCAGCCCCAAACGTGGTATAGGCCTATAACTGAACTGTGGTAAAAGCCCGAGTGAGTGTGATAACGGCCAGTAGCTTCACGTTGGGCCAAAGTGTTTTCATGCAGGCCCTATTCAGATAGGTGCTTGGACCAAAATTCACAAACTAATGTGTCAGTTATGCGAGGATCGATAGGACCTGAGTCCCCGATTCTCTGGACTCCGGTCCTACCGACGCTCTCCCAACTGACACACATTAGTTCGTGAATTCTGGCATATAGGACTATAAACCAATTTCAGTATTCTTTAGAGGACCACATACCATTTCCAAGCATGGGAGAATTGAAGGCGTGTGGGCAGGGAGCAAGCCACAAAGGCTGGACGGCGAAGTGAAGGCGTGTGGGCATACAAACAGTAATAGCCAGCAAAGAAAAAGAAAAAAACCAGAAAGCAGCAAGGTAAAGAAACAACAAATTCAAGGCAGATAAAAAAAACAAGTACCCAAAAATAAAGAGTTAAACATGACAACAGACCTGACTCTCTCTCTCTCTTTTTCTCTCATCTGAGTATTCCGCTCTACCTTCGAGATGCTATAGCGAACAGATGGAAATAAAAAACTGCACGCCTATTCCGCTCTACCTTTGAGATGCTACAGTGAACAGATGAAAATAAAAAACTGTATGCAACACCGCATTCATGAAAACCTAACAAAACGACAAAACCTAACATTTTTTATAGAATGAAAAAGTACAACATCAAACTGTTACTTTTGACACATAAAAAATATTATTTTTAACCTATGTAGAAAATCCGGATATCCGGCAGGCCATTTTATCCGGAATTTTCAATCCGGATGAAAATTTCGGATTAAATCCGGATATGGAAAAATCCGGCCCTGCGCAAAACATTTTTTTTTACCGAAACAAAAAATAATTCAAAAATTCTGGAAAACAAATATGTTGTTCACATCAACGATACGAACAACTTTTGACTTGAGGCCATTGTTGATATCTCAACAGATAAAAAGATAAAAATATAAAATAGAAAAAGAAAATAATATTTGGATAAAAAATTATAAAACGAATCAAGCATCCCCGCTCTAAGCCCCTTCATTCCCCATATTATCCCCTTTCAACCCTTCCATGACTTATCAAGCTTTTGATGAAATAGGAACATAGTTCTATTGTATTTTGCATGCGCAATATTACTTTTTTTTTTTTTT